AAATTTTTTTACCTTGTTTCAGTCATTTCTATTTTGGGTATCTGTTAATTGGCAACTAAACTGAATCCTAAGTATAGACTTCTTTTTAGAATTTCCTTTTGTAGGTAACTAATCTGTTTGTCCTCTAAGTGAGAATTATAGATTAAGTAATCTATCCCTCATATTTTTCCTAGTTTCATTAAAGATGGAGTTCATATTTATTTCTCATATTAAGTAATTTTTAAGACAAAAAAGCAGAACTGTTTTCACCTATTAAGTTAAAAACTGGAATTTTACCTTTCCAAACTTATTTTCTACCTTGCCCCTTTACATGTTAATACCTTGAACTATTCAGTAATTCTCTTTAAGCTCCATAATTTCCTACTTTCTACTTTTGCTCATTATTTCCATTCCAAGGAAAGTTCTGTGTGTGTCTATTTCTATGTTGAAAGTACACCTGTAAGATCCAACTCACAGGCCACTGCCCTCTAAGGTCTCTCCTGATCCATTCAACAAGAAGTAATTTTATCTTCACCAATACCATTTCTTCCTTGACACTTATCTCTTTTACTGGACTCCTCGAGGTTGAGGCCTGTATCTTTGGTTCTCTATGCTATATTCTCTGTAGCATACGGCATAGTAGCTTGTACATAACTGTCACATACTGAATGTGTTACTGTATATCAACACATTTGGATTTTAGAAACATTATTTGGTAAAACTATGGTATTTTCCACAGCTTGCTTTTTTTAGATAAAATTAACTGATTTAAAAATGTTTTTCTGCTATCTTAAAGTGGTAACTCAGACCTCCTGAGAATAATTTTATCTTTTAAAAATATGAGGGCTGTGCATGGTGGCTCATACTTATAATCCCAGACTCTGGGAGGCCAAGGTGGGCAAATCGCTTGAGCCCAGGAGTTTGAAACCAGCCTAGGGAACATGACAAAATCCCATCTCTACAAAAAGTATAAAAATAAGCCAGGGATGGTAGTGTGTAGCTGTAGTCCCAGCTACTCAGGAGGCTGAGGCAGGAGGATTAAGTAAGCTTGAGAAGTCAAAGCTGCAGTGAGCCGTGATTGTGCCACTGCACTCCAGCCTGGGTGACAGAAAAATACACTGTCTCGAAAAATAAAAATAAAAATGTTATGAGTGAAGATAAGCTTTGTGGTTTATTTCAAAAACCTTGAAGATTTCTGGCTGGAGGCAGTGGCTTATGCCTATAATCCCAGCTACTCAGGAGGCTAGGGCAGAAGAATTGCTTGAACCCAGGAGGTGGAAGTTGCAATAAGCTGAGATTGTACCACTGCACTCCAGCCTGGGCAACAGAGTGAGACTCTGTATCAAAAAACAAACAAACAAACAAACAAAAAAAACCAAAAACAAACAAAACCACACACACAACACTTTGAAAATTTCAAAATATCATGTCCACTATTTCATTATCCTCTGGATTGCTCCAGATAGAATATTTCTCCCTCATGAAGAAGGGAAAAATAAAGTGATTTGCACAGCATCATAAAGAAGAATGTAATAAGAAACAGGTCCCTCACCTCTTGAGTCCAGTGTTCTGACCAAATTTGATCAGATATGCCCCGCTTCCCACCCAAAAAGACTGACATATCAGAGAAAGGAAAATTGAAAACTTCCATGTAACTTGAAGACATGATTTTAAAACACAAGAAACAGATGGGGAGAAAATTTTTAGCAACATGCATAGTAGTGGCTTACTATCCGTAGTAATAAAAACTGCTATTCCAAATCATAAGAAATAGGATAAACAACTCAACAGAAAAATGGGCAAAGGAAACAGGTAAGTCACAGAAGAAGAAAACATATAACAGGATATTCAGTATACTAAGTATTATCAAAATACAAATTAAAACAAAGAAATTACCCCCCCCCGTCCCATGTTTTAGAGAGGTAATATACAGTAAAGGTTACATATACAGACTCTAAAGCCAATCTTCCTGGGTTTGAACCTCAGTTCTCTCATTATCCAAGCTCTATAACCTCAGGCAACTTATGAATTTCTCTGTGTCTCAGTTTTCTCATTTTCAAAATAGGAGTAATGACAGTGACTATCTCATAGGGTGGTTGTGATGATTAAATGAGTTAGCTTATATAAAGTACTTAGAATATATCTGTCACATAATAAATACTACTTAAGTGTTTATTATTTCTATTCTTTCAATATATTGACAAAATGGAAAAGGTTGTCTGAAGGATAAAAGTAACCTTAATTTGTTGGTGGGAAAGGTCCTTTTTTGAAGGAAAATTTGATAATGTACATACTCTATACCAAGCAGTGCTACTTCTGAAATCCAACCCAGCCACCGGTACAAAAACGCACATGTTCAAAAATGTTCATGACATCTCTATTTTGTATCAAAAAAGGGAAACAATGTAAATATCCATCAATAGAGAAGTGATGTACATTATTATAAAAACACTGGAGCATACAAATATTCAGTTGTTAAAAAGAATGATGTGGACTGACATTTACTGACATATGGAGAGTACAAAATATTTATACTAAAAAGGAAGTCACAAAGTAATATGCATAATATGATCCCATTTATATTAAAATATGGAAACATATACTTGGGTTCCCTTTATGTATGGAGTTTTAAAGAGGGTTGAAAATATAAAAATTGTTAATAAGGTTATTTATGTGGGGAGATAGGAAAGATAAAGAGGGTCTTTAGTTCTTTTTATTTACATACTGAAACTTTTTCCCCTCCAAAACAACAAAGACAAGTGAGTATTTTAATTTATAATTTAAAAACACACAAAAAAAGAGCTGCTTACTACCTCTAACTAGAGGTTCCACAGATTGGATAAAAGAATAGAAATGTTTTGCTACTTAGATTTAGACACTGTATAACATTTTGAAAGAAGTGGCTGACTTCAGCAATTGATGCATCTGACCCAGGAAAATCAGAGGTCTTCAGAAAATACTTGGTCACACCTATAAGGGCACTAATTCAAAGAACTCAGCTGATGAGTATCTTGTACCTTAGCTCTATTTATCTGACTGTTCAAACGATCTGAAGGCAAGAGAGTCTTTTTTAAAACTGGAACACATTCAAATTACATTGAGTACATCCCTATACAAGTAAAAGTTTTTTGAAAAATTTCTGTATAGGAAATCTCTGCAATTCAAATGGAGTTGATAAATTAAAAGGGTTACTTAATATTTGAGATTTACTACCACTTTTTTATTGTGCTGTACTTAAGAAAGAAAGACTTTGCTATTGATTAAAGCATAACAGCATAAAAGTCACAAATAATACATTTCGATCACTGGAAAGGCTAAAAATACAGTAACCATATAATAGAAATACAAGAGACCCTGGGAGAAAATGATCTCTTGGTAATTCAGTCAAACAATTCCCATGGGCAACCTAAAACAAAATGAAATAGGAGAGAGCCCTTTGTTTGAAATAAAGAAGTTAATATTTAGTGCAAGGTTAAAAAATAAGGTAAACTTATAAAAAAAACTTGTCTCCCAAGTTTCTATATGATGCTGCAGGATTTAAGAAAATGGCTATTGAATTGGGACTGTTTTATTTGCTGCACAACATCTTTGTTCTTAAGAATCAATAATCTGAAAAAAATTGTTATTCTATTTTTTGAGACATTAATAAAATGCTTTGAATTCCTGGAATGATGAAAATTATAGAATAATAGGAAACTAAGAAAAATATTTCAAAAATATTTTTTATGATTACCTTAAAACAAAGAGGTATAAAAGAGATAATAAATATACTGCAAATTGGGCTGACTTGCAAATTTCACAGAGCACCTTTAATGTAGTTCAAGAAGGGCTAATAAAGCAGTAGTCCCCCATCAAGTTCCTTCATTTACCAAATAAAGACAGTAATCATCTGCTCGGCAAATCTATAATTTTATTTCTGTTTTCTAGGTAGATAAGTGAAAAACAGTCACTTACCAGGAAAAAAAAAAAAAAGTAAAACATAAATAAGAGTATCAAATATGAGAGGCAGACCTGAGTTCAAATCCCAGCTCTACTACTTACTAGCTGTGTGACCCTGGGCAAGTTTCTCAAACGTTTTATGCCTCAGTTTCTCATCTATAAAATGAGGATAATAATAGTATCTAGGGTTGTTGTATTACATGAGAGACTACATTTAACATGTGTGGCACAGAATAGGTACTCAATAAATATTGGTGGTAGCGACGATGTGCTGATGCTGATACCACAAGCACTACTTCCAAAATTCTGAACATTATCGAGACATGACGTGTCAAAAATGTGTCAGCACACATTCAATGATTTTTGAAGGATATTATCCTTAGGGAGCTATATATTTGAGGTTTACTCAAGCTAATCGTCTTAATTATTGAAATCCATCCAGGCTTCCTTTTCAGCACACGTCTTCTAGATGTAATTGCAAACCAACAAGGCCAATTTCATATGCTTTACATACAGAACATAGCAGTAAAAAGCATAGACTATGGAGCCAAACTGCCCAAGTTCAAATACCATTTTTGCTATTTACTAGCTGTATGACCCTGGGCAAGATTATTTAACCTCTCTGTACTTCAGATTCTTCATCTATAAAATGGTGATAATAATAGTATTTATCATATAGGGTTATTATAAAGATGAAACAAGATAACATGTATGAAGCATTCTGTGACAGTGCTAAAACTGTTTAGCTATCATCATCATTATTCTTTATAGTCATTCTACCAAAAACAAAACAAAAGATACACCTCTGACCACTATAACTTGATTCTATAGAAACAGCTTAACTGACCCTGAAATTAGTTTTTATGTATCCACAAACTCTCCAATATTATCAGATTCTTAAACTGGTTGGGTATTTGAGTCAATATTTTGCATCTTGCCTTAATATGAATGTGACATAAAAGTCAATTTTTTATTGTATTTTTCTATTTGTCATTGATTGAAATTCAGAACAGACCAAAAAGCCTTAACAAAATTCATTCTCAAACTGCTTTTTTTTTGTTTTAAGAAAGTTAACTTCCTACCTGTCATCTGTACTGCGAAGGGATGGAAGCCGAAAGCTCGTGTTTCTGTCAAGCTTTGACTGACTTTTGGTCCTCTTGATGGAGCCTTTCAGGCGCTTGCTGAAGAATCCCTAGAAGGAAAGGCAGAAGGTGATGGGAGAGAGAACAAAAAGGGAACGTCACTCTTCCACACTGTCTCTGCAACAGGTATTTAGATTTGTACAATAAAGACCAGAAATAGAACTTAGCTTTTAAGCTCTTCAATTTTGTAAGTAAGAGTTGCTTGAAACCACCTGGCAATGTGATGAGAAAATTTTCTTCTGTGAGAATTGGGATAATTAAACTTTCCAATAGCACCTAATTTCTTATTTCTTAATGTTTATATTAGTTATAGAAGAAAAAAAAAACTTCTAATTTTACTGGTAGATTTCCCAAAGCACAACAATATAACATAGACAAATATATTCCTTTCTATGAAGATGGTACCAACAATTTCAGTACAAATGACCTCTAGTGATTTCCCAAACTAAGGGAAAACAGGCAAAGAAAATGGCATGTGCAAAGGCCCCCAGGTGAGAAGGCACTTGGTGCACTGGAGAAATTAAAAGATACTGATAGAAGAAAAAAAGCTTTATTCTAAGATATGTAAAAAGGAATTAACTAAGTTGTAAAATACAATGTATTGGTGGTCTCGGAAGTGTTAAAACTCGGTCTGTGTCACCTTGGATATGGCATTATAAAATTAAGTAATGAATGTGGATAAACTATTTTAAAATGAAGTATAGATAATTTATGAAATTGTTAAAGCTTCCAGACTTTAACAAAGTGCTTTACAGTCTTTGGCCCCTGCCTGCTTCCTGCCAGTTTTACCAAACTATCTAGAGTTCCCTGAACATCTTCCTTGACTCTGCACCTGGCAAATAATGAGCACTTAACAAAAGTTTGTTGAATAAAAGAATAAATGCAAAAATGAATGATGGTCACTACTTTCAAGAAATTTACAATTCTATCATGGGCAGGTGAAAGGAATCTTATAGAAGCATATTAAAATTTCTCAGTCAGACATGGTGGCTCATGCCTATAGTTCCAGCATTTTGAAAAGGCTGAGGTGAGAGTATAGCTTGAGGCCAGGAATTCAAGACCAGCCTGGGCAACATGGCGAGACCCCATCTCTACAAAAATAAAATAAAATAAAATTTAGCCAGCCATGGTAGCACATGCCTGTAATCCCAGCCACTCAGGAGGATGAAGTGGGAGGACTGCTTGAGCTCAGGAGTTCAAGGCTGCAGTAAGTGATGACTGTACCACTGCACTCCAGCTGGGGCAATAGAATGAAACCCTAACTCAAAAACAAATAAAATAAAATAAAATATCTCAAGCAAAGATTCTAATTCAAAGAAAAATACTCTGACACATGGCGAATGACTCTAATCATCTTGAGATGAATTCATTTTATATAAGCTGTGTACAATAAACATTTCTGTAATGAAGAAAAAGAAATACTAGGCCAATATTAGCACATCGAATCTTTCATATTCCTTTAGTAACTACCAAAGCCCACTGTTTTGGGGTGAAGGCTATATTTATCAGGATAAGCTAGGTTATTCTTATCTAATTACTCCCCAATCTTAGTGGCATAAAATATGTTACATGTCCATGAGCAGGTCAACTGGCAGTTGGGGGAGTTCCTGTCTATGCTGTCCTCATTCAGGAACTTGGGCTAAGGGAGGCTCTCTATCTGGGCTTCTACAGTTTTTGCAGCAGGATAAAGGTAAAACAGCAAATTATGTACATGTACTAGCTCTTAAAGCTTCATGTCAATTTTGGTCTCATTTCACTGACAAAACAATCACATGACCATATCTAACTTTAATGGAGGAAGGGATACACAGTACTACCAGGTACTCAGAAAGGGAACTGAAAATACTTGGTGAATGTCAGTGTAGACTGCTACAGTGTTTTACCAAGCCAAGTTATTTTTTAAACATGCAGGCATTGCTCCTTTGATTAGAGGAAAATGAAAACAAACATACCCAATCAGAAGCAGAACTATTTAGATTACTGAAAGATAATACTTATAATGCTATATCCTATTGTTTTGGCCACCCAAGGAGAAAGTGTAAAAACTCCTAGTATATATCACACAGACCTAATACCCTAGAGGCTGTTTTTCACTCCAACTTATTATAGGTATGTAGAGATTGACTGAAGGCAAGGGAAAAAGGCTCAATGTGAAGATGATGAGGATGAAGATCTTTATGATGATTCACTTCCACCTAATAGTAAATAGTATATTTTCTCTTCCTTATGATTTTCTCAATAACACTTTCTTTTCTCTAGTTGACAACTTTAAGAATGCAACATACAATACATATATCATGCAAAATATGTGTTAATTGACTGTATATGTTATTGGCAAGGCTTCCAGTCAACAGTAGGCTAACAGTAGTTAAGTTTTGGGAGAGTCAAAAGTTACATGAAAATTTTCAACTGCACAGCGGGTGGTGTCTCTAACCCCCATGTTGTTCAAGGGTCAACTGTACAATTTTGGTGTCATTAGGGAGAGTCACTGTCATTAGTCATAGTCATTAGTACATAAAGGCAAAGGCTTTATTACTATTTTCTATGACTCAATCAGAATGAGTCACCACATCTGCTAATAAATGTAGTCAGCAAACCAGGCTTAAGTTTATAGAATTTTAATAGGATTGCTTAGTGTTGTTTCAAAAACCTAGGTTGAGATCCAGGCCAAGGAGTCGACCAAAAATGATACATACATTTCTAACAAAAATGCAGTTAAGCATTTGACTGAGACAGTATTAGTAGACGTTCACTTATCTAGTAATTTAATTCTACCTTTTTTGTGGCACTTTTTTTTTTTTGAGACGGAGTTTCACTCTTGTTGCCTGGGCTGGAATGCAATGGTGCAATTTCGGCTCGGCTCACTGCAACCTCCGCCTCCCAGGTTCAAGCTATTCTCCTGCCTCAGCCTCCTGAGTAGCTGGGACTACAGGCATGTGCCACCACACCTGGCTAATTTTGTATTTTTGATAGAGATGGGGTTTTCCCATGTTGGTCAGGCTGGTCTCGAACTCCCAACCTCAGGTGATCCACCTGCCTTGGCGCCCCAAAGTGCTGGGATTACAGGCGTGAGCCACCACATCCAGCCTTGTGGCACATATTATATCATACCTCATATGACAGAATATGATATACTGTATTTAATAAAATTTATGCCTATTTGTTGTAGAGAACTCTACTAGGAGTTGTAAGGAAATCAAAGATAAACACAAACTCTGCCCTCAAGGAACTTGTCATTTAATACAGAATTTAGACACTAAATATAAATTTATACACAGGCTTATTAGTAGACTGGACATGGCTGAGGAAAGAATCTCTAAGCATGAGGATATATCAATAGAAACATCCAAAACTGAAAAGCAAGCAAACAAAAATACCCAGAAAAGAATATCCAAAGACTACAGGACAACTACAAAAGGCATAACATGTGTAATGGGAATACCAAAAGGAGAAAAGAGAAATAAATAGCAGAAAATCAGAAACAATAATGACTGAGAATTTCCCCAAATTAATACACCAAACCAAAGATCCAGGAAGCTCAGAGAATACCAAGCAGCATAGATGTCAAAAAACCCCCTAAAAGAAAAAAAATCCCAACCCCCAAAACTACACTGAGGCATATCATTTTCAAACTGCAGAAAAACAAAGAGAAAGAAAAAATCCTAAAGAAGCCAGAAGGAAAAAACATCTTATGTACAGAGGAACAAAAATAAGCATTACATCTGGCTTCTCCTCAGAAACCATACAAACTAGAGAATGGAGTGAAATATTAAAGTGTTGAGAGGGAAAAAAAAGAACCCAGACTATCAACCTAGAATTCTATAACCTGCAAAACTATCCTTCAAAAGTGAAGGCGAAATAAAGCTTTCTCACATACATGAAAAAATTGAGGAAATTTGTTGCCAGTAGACCAGCCTTGCAAAAAATGTTTAAAAGAAGTTCCTTAGAGAGAAAGAACAATATAGGTCAGAAATTGGACCTTCTTAAGAAAAGGAAGAGTATAGAAGCAATAAGTGAAAATAAAACAACCTTTTGCTTTTCTTCTTGATTTAATATCAAAATAATAATAATGTATTTAATTATGCAAGCTTATGTATGTATGCTTATGTATATATGATATATATGCTTATGTATACTTATATATAAGGGAAATGAATACTAATGATACAAATGACAAGATGGAAGAATTAAGATTATTTTATTATAAGGTGCTCATACTATCTATGAAGCTGTATAGTGTTATGTGAAAATGGACTTGGGTTAGTTATAAACTTAAAAAACTGAAAATTCTAGGGAAACCACTAATTTTTTAAAAAAATAAGCATAACTGATATGCTAAGAAAGGAGAGAAAATGGAATCATATAAGTCATTCAGTTACAATCGTGAAAGGTTATAACAGTGGAAGACAAAAATAAGGACACAGAACAAAGGCAACAAATAGAGAACAGTTAACAAATATGGTTAGAAACCCAACTAAATCAATAATCACTCTGAATGTCAATAGTCTAAATACACCAATTAAAAGAGACTGTCAGTGTGGATCAGAAAACAAGACCCAACTATATATCATCTACAAGAAACTCACTTTAAATATAAAGACACATAAAGATTAATAGTAAATGGATGGAAAAAATATACTATGCCAACACTAATCAAAAGAAAGCAGGCATAGCTATATTAATTTCAGACAGAGCAGATATTAGAGCAAGAAAACTTAACAAGGATAAAGAAGGGCATTACATAATGATAAATGGGTCAATTCTCCAAGAAGACAGCCTTAATGTACATATGCCTAATAACGGAGTATAAAGAGACATGAGGTAAAACTGGTAAGAGTTGCTAGGAGAAACAGATAAATCTATATAGTTGAAGACTGCAAATCTATATATCAATCTATATAGTTGAAGACTGTCCATTATCTATCAGAAATGGACAGATCTAGCAGGCAGCAAATCAGTGAGGACATAGTTGAACTCCAAAACACCATGTAATCAACTGAATATAATTGACATCTATAGACTACTTTATCCAACAACAGCAGAACAGAGG